CCAAAAAGGTATGTTTTAATATTTTTTCGTTTTAACTACTCATATATACCTAGCGCGATGACATTTTATGTCCATTTCAATCCTGTAAAAGCGTTTTTAAATCCGTTCAGTCGTTTCGGAGTTATCCATTAGAATGCAAATGTCGGTAATTTTTACCTTCCAGCATCGTCTTAAGACATGCATAGTAATTTTCTTAAATATATATGTATATGCTGTGACGTGACGTTTTTCAACCGTCCGTCACAAGGGTCGTAATGCCCGACCAAAGGAGCGCGGTTTTGGATCCTGCGTCCTCCCCGATTTAGGGAGGCGAGCGTATCCGCGCGCGTGCGTTGTCGTGGCATAATTTTGACGCGTTTCATTTAATCTTTTCTTTTCGCACGAGTGTAACCTAGGTAGAAATCGGCGGCATGAGTGAACGGCGTGTATAAACTCGTCGACTCCAACCAGCGAGAGAGAGAAAGATGGCACCGACATCGAGGCGGCTGACTCGCCCTGGGAAGTACGGAGCACGCAGATTAAGTACTATTCTCCGAAGCAATTAAACACGCTGGTGCCCGTTATCGGGAACCTTTACTGCTGTGGATTATTTACGATCAGTAATGGGAGCAAGAGCCGCGTACCCGAGGCTCGGAAAAGCCAGACCATATTTGAAGATCGCGTCGCCGATTGCGGGCGATCCGATCACGTGCGAGGCCGCGATTCGCGGGCGTCGCGCCCGCAGGACAAAGGCCAATCGGCGCGTTATCAGCCGATCCCATGACGTCTCGCGACCTGCGTGCTGCCGGAAGGACCGTCGAGCGACACTTGTGTTGTGGTTGTTGCCTGGGAAGGACGCAGGATCTCGAGTAACTGTCGATTGACGAAACCAGGATTAGAGATCTTAGCTGCCGCTCTTGGTGAGACGAACGTCGCTAAAGTATATTGTCGGCCGCCGGTTTCGTTGTCGGGCGGATCGCGCTATTAAAGTTTTGTCGTTCGTATAATTGTGTGTCCGTGAGTCGTGTCCGTGTCTCGCGCCGCCCGCCCGGCAAAGGTTACGCGAAATTAAGTAGTTGCCGTTGCGCTCGCCTTGCCATAGCCGAGTCATTTGTGTCATTTACGTGTTATTTTGTGTTATTCGTGCGTTGCGAATTTATCTAATTCATTGCGTGTTAGCGTGCCGAGTTTTTGGCAGAGTTCGAGAATATCGCGATACCGCGTGGTGTGAGATCGGCCATTACGCCGTGCGTGGCGTACCTCCCGCGTGCCGCGACTTTGCAT